GTTTTATGGCAGGTCTTTGATGTTTTACAAGCCAGAATAATACCAGTCTGTTCAGTTGAGTAAGGAATGGGTGCCAAGCTCTGTTACACATTAGGTGATTTTGGACCTTGCACAATATTCAATATAAGAGAAAGTTCGTGCCCAGGATGAGAGGGTGGAGAAAGACCCAAGAAGGTCAGAGAGCAGATAAATGAACCCCTAGCAAAACCAACATTTCTCATCCCATTTCCACATAATTTTGTTTAGATCTGGGATTGTGAGAACAATTCTATGAATTCAGTTTGGAAAGGGTGGAATAATGGGTGTCAGAAATAAAACTTCAGTTGGTCATTCATTCATTTATTCATTCAACAACCACTTGTGGATGCCACTTTGAGTCCTGGGATACTAAGAGAATAAACTTCAATTCCTGCCAACCTACCATCCTAGTCTAGTTGGAAGAGGACATGTAGAAAAAATTTTAGAGGATGTGTTCCAGGGCTGGGCCAGCCAGACCAGAGCTTTTGGGATCTGTATTGTCCTAGGAGATCTACTGGCATCTGTGTTATTCTGCTAGGAAAGTGTTCCATTTGGAGATTAAACCCAGTTTGGTAGCTACATGGGATCAAAAAAGGCTTCTTTCCTGAAGATGTCACATAGAAGGAGATCTGCAGGAGTTAGGACAGGGAGGAATGACATCTCTGAAGGCCCTATACCAGGGAAGACCTTGGGCTAGTTGGGGTCAGAGATGCCAGGAGGTCTGATGTGCTTTAGGGTTGGGGAGAGACGTGCAGACTTGGGGAGTAGCCAGGAGCTTACATGCTTGCTTGCTAAGTCTAGAGCAAGGGGAGAGGTGAGGTAATCAGAATTCTGTTTCAAAATTTGCTTCTTTACAAAGGTTGGTTTAAAACAAAACTACCACCCTGTCTGTAGTGGAAAGAATGGATGGAGGAGGTAGGGAGGGTGGATTTGGAGAGAATGCTTGGAAACTCTTCATAGGTGAGAAAGAGGGTAGACTTTCTCTTGGACTAAGTCAGTGGTAGTGGAGATAAGCAGAGTGGATACTTAATAAATAATTTTTAGGCAGAAGGAACCAACTTCTAGGTGGATGTGTGAGACCAGGGAGAGGGAAGGAGCACAGAAGACTCAGACTTTCTTTGTTTGAACAATGGGATAGATTACAAAAGATTTACCAGATTTCAAAAGATCAGAAAAGAAGGGGTCCCTGGACGGTTCCATCAGTAGAGCATGAGACTTTTGATCTCAGGGTCATGACTTCCAACCCCACACTGGACACAGAGTTTACTAAAACAAATGAACAAAGAGAAAACAAGCTGGTTTGAAGGAGGAAGATTAACAGTTGAGTTTTGGATGGAATGATATTTAAGTGGAGATGTTCCTTCCTCTAGCAACGATCTGGTGAGATGGGTTCTCATCTTCTCAGTGTCTCAGATCCTCCCTCTGCCCTTCCTTTAGTTTGTGTGGGACTTTGGTGTGATGGTCCATTATTAAAATCCCATCTTTGCTTCCTTCCTTCCTTTTCCCTTACTCCATTGTACTTACCAGGTGCGTTGGGCTGAATATTGTCCCCTCCCCCATTCATATGTTGAAGTCCTCACCCCTAGTACTTCAGAATGTGACCAGATTTGGAGACAGGGCCTTAAAAGAGGTAATTAAGTTCCAATGAAGTCATTAGGGTGGGCCTATTCTGATAAAGCTAGTGTCCTTATAAGAAGAAGAAATTGAAATGGAGAGGGGTACCTGGGTGGCTCAGTCTGTTAAGCATCTGACTCTTGATTTCATCTCAGATCATGATCTCAGGGCTCTGCGCTGGGCGTGGACCTATTTAAGATTCTTTCTGTATCCCTTTTTCTCCACCCCTCCCCCCCCACTAAAAAAAAAATAAAAAGCATTTAAAAAAAAAAAAGAAATTGGAATGGAGATATGTGGACACACAAAGGGAAGACCATGTGAGAACACAGAGAGAAGGTAGCCATCTACAAGCCAAGGAGAGAGGACTCAGAGGATATCAGCCTCTTGGATATCTTGATGTCAGCTTCCAGAACTGGGAGACAATAAATTTCTGTTGGCTGAGCCACAACAGAATGTATGGCTTTATTATGTCGGCCCTGGCAAATCCAGCAAACCCCAACCTCCTCAAATCCCACTATCTGCCTACTTTTGCCCTTTTTCCTAGGCAGTGGGGAGTAGCCAGACAAAAGAGCAACCCCTCATTGACTGGCCTTTGTTTAAATTCCTGACTACTTCATGATACCCTGAGAACCTCTCTGGTTTCCCTGCTTTGTCCACTCTGCTGGAATTCTACCAACCCTCATCCTCTCTCAGTAGATGGATGACCTCATTTCACTGACAAGCAGTCAAAAGAGGATGCCCATATGTCACTGTCTGCCAACCCACTAACATAACGCCTGAAATTATGGTCTCCACCTTCCTTCTTTGAGGTAGCAGAGCTTCCACACACACATCCCGGTGCCTCGGTTCCCTCTTACCTACACATGAGCTCTTCACAAGTTTTAAGTTTTTTTTCCAGCAATTTCCCCCTCTTCTGCATTATCAGCTATTGCCTTTCTCTTGGGCTTTCCAGTCATCCTACAGACATAATGCTATAGGTCTCTCCTAAGAGAGAGAGAGACTATAAGTTGTCCTCTTGCTATATCCTCATTTCTCTACTCTTTTGACTGAAAACTCTTCAAAACAAGTCATCTCTCTTAAGGACACCAGTCTCTTCATATACACTCTCATGAACCTACTTCATCAGGCTTTGTCCTCCATATTCCTCCAAAAACTGTTCTTGTCAAGAGCACCAATAACTCCCTGTCTGGTCTCAGTTTCTTGTCTCAGGGGTCACTCTGGCCAGGTCCCTTTGCTAGAGCTCTTCTCAACCCTCTGACCTCTGCTACAGGCTCAAACCCCTGGTTGAGTCTCTGAAACTGTTGTTTCTGCACACACTCTCTATGTGATCTTATTTATCCTCTTGGCTTTAAAAACTATCTGCATGATAAAGTCTCCCATATTTATGTTTCCAGCACTGACCCCTTGGATTCCAGATATTTATACCCAAGTAGCTACTTGATATCTCCTCCTGGGGGTGTAATAGGCATCCTAAACTTGCCTCCCAAACCAAATTTTTGTTTGGTGACTTTTCTACCAAACCAAATCTTCATTCCCCGGTCTTTCCATCACTCTAAATGGCAATGCTGTCTTTCCTTTGGTCAGTTACTCAGACCAAAATTCTTGGAGTCCTCTTCGACTCCTCTTTCCTGCAAACCCCACATCCAACTCATCAGCAAATCTTGTTGCTTCTATTTTCAAAATGTTTTCAGAATCCAACTGCTTGTTTTCTTTGCCACTTTTGTAACTACTTCCTTTTTAAAGTCACTATAAGTGGTCTCTGCCTTTCCATCCTTGCTTTCCTACAATTTATTCTCAATGCAGAAGCCAGATGGAGCTTATAAAATGTCATGCTTGATCACCTAGTGACCTTGAATAGGTTAAAAATAAAATTTCCTGTCCAAAAAGTCCTTATCCTGTCCTACAGGGCTGTTAGTGATCTGGCCCTCTGCTACCCTCAGAACTTTCCTGTTCTGCCTCCCTTAACCCTGAATTCCAGTTCCAATGGTCTCCTTGCTACTCCTGAAACTGGCCAAGGGCTTTTCTTTCTTTCTCTTTCCGTCTTTCTTTCTTTCCTTCCTTCCTTCCTTCCTTCTTCTTTTCTTTTCCCTTCCTTCCTTCCTTCCTCCTCTCCTCTCCTTTCCTTCTCTCTCTCCCTCCCTCCTCTCTCCCTCCCTCCTCTCTCCCTCCCTCCTCCCTTCCTCCCTCCTTCCCTTTTTTCCTTTCTTCCTCCTCTTTTCTTTCTTTCTTTCTTTCTTTCTTTCTTTCTTTCTCTCTCTCTCTCTCTCTTTCTTTCTTTCTTTCATCTTCTTTCCTTCTCCTTCCTTCCTTGCTCTCACTTTCCATTTCTTTCTCCCCAGAGTTTTTTGTTTTGTTTTGTTTTGCCTCAACCATGATTTCTGCTATTCCTTCCATCTGGAAAACTTTTGCCCCAGGAAGTCCTGTGGCTTGATTTTTCACTTTCTTTAGGTCTCTGTTGAATGTCACAGAGAGTCCTAGTGCTAAGGAAACTTGAAGAGAGTGCAGGGGATGTCTGAGACTAGCCACTGGATTATTTATTGAACCATCACTTAGAGTGCTTGCTGCATGCCAGACACTTTTCCAAGCATATCCCATAGATTCTAGAAATACATCTCTAGCCTCACAGAGCAGGTAGTAGTAGCTAATATTTGTTGAATACTTAGCATGTGCCAGGCGTTGTGCTAAACACATTGTAAATATGACCTCTCTTAATCTTTATCATACCCCATAAAATAAGTAGTGCTATGATCCCTGCTTTACAGCTAAAGCACAGAGACGTCAAGTAACTTGCCCCGTATCACTCCGGTAGTGGGTAGTGGAGCTGGGCTTGAACCCAGGCTTAACTACTGATGTCACTTGAGTTAAGGGGTGAGGGGTGAGGTTTGAGTGGAGCTTTTGAAGGGGGCTGAGCAGGAATTTGTCAAGGCTAAGAAGTAGCAGTAGAGATCTTTTCCCAGGCAGCAGACACTGCTTGTAGGCAGATGCCCAGGTAGCCAGCCTTGACACTTTCCAGGATCAGCGGTGGCTAAAGTGTAAAGTACAAGGCTGATAAAGGGAGCCGGCGGAGAAGTACAAAGAAATATCGTCGGTTTTCCCAACACCTGCAGAGAACCCTTAAGGCAGCGCCTTTTCCCTGGAAATGCAAAGTATGGTCTTTGTCTGATTAGGAAGCTGGAAGTGAGCGGCTGTAGTAGTAGAGGTCTTTCAAGTTTTTTAAGTCCTTATTGGTCCGGCCGGCCAGGGAACGTTGCAGGAGCGGGTGAGGGGTGGGAAAGGAAGCCGAGAAAAGGCAAGTGCAAGATAAAGGGGAAGTGCAGTTAACGAACCCGTCTAACTCTCTTCTCTCTGCCTGAGCGGCGTCTGGCGGGTCTCTCCTCCAGCTTCGCCGGGCCGACTTCCTCAGTGGACCCCAATGGCCAACCACAGATTCAGTTCAGTGTCTGAGGAGGAACCCTGCTGCAACATTTCCAAGAAAACCAAGATCTGTCTCTGCGTCTTCTTTGGTCTCCTGATCGCGGTGATCATCGCGGTGCCGGTCGGTATCCTGATGTGGCGCCATCCGCTCAAGGAGTGGAAGGGGAAGGGCACCACTGCCCATTTTTACGAGATCCTCCTGGGACGGTGCTACACCTATACTCAAATCGTGCGACCTGAGCTGGGGTGAGTCGGCGTCCGTGGCGCGCGGCTGGGCGCGGCTGGGCACAGCTGGGCACCGCTGGGCACCGCGCGCGAAACAAAGCATCTTCTATTCCGGGTCAGCAGAGAGCCCGCTGGCCAGCGCTGAGCAGGGAGTGCTGGCCTTGCGACTCCGTGCCACTCGCCAGAGCGCCTGGCGTTGGCCCCGAGCGAGCGAGCGAGCAAGCGGATGGGGAGCGCGGGGCTCGCTGGCCCAGTCGGCTCAGCGGCAGAACCCCAGCGGAGATGCCCGCCTCTGCGCAAGGTGCACGGAGTCGGGCGGGTCCCGAGCTACCCGCGCGAAGGTAACTGGTAGGGGTGTGTGTGTGCGCGCGCGCGTGTGTGTGTGTCTGTCTTGGGGGATCGCTAGCGTTTTCTACTTTGATTGGGTTTTCTGTTCGCTGTCTCTGGCCCCAAAGTGCCCGGACAGTTACGGCTGACACCTGGTTAAGTGGCTTGCGGAGGCTGCAGGGGGTGGGGGAGCTTCAGGGGGGCCAGACCATTAAAGTGCGTTTTTTTTCGTGAGTATATAACAGTACTTCTTGCGCGCCCAGAGATATAGCGGACCAGAGAACCCAGTAACAAAACCAAAACAATAACAACTTTTTAAAATTGAGATAAAATTCACACTGTAAGGTGCATCCGTTCGATGGATCTGTACAGACCCTGAAAAGTGTGGAAACTTGCCGGACGGTTCCTCGTTCCTCCTGCCGGCTAGTTCCTAATCTCCGCCAAAGGGGACCGCTCGCTTTCTTGACTCCAGTCGCAGGGTTTGGTTTCACCCAGAGAACTCACTTTTGAAGTTGTTCATAAAGGAGAACCAGCCAGAAGTAAGACCTATTCCCCAGACTGCCCAAGGCGAGCACTGGGAGCCACCGCTCGTGCTGTGAGTTTGAAATGCACAATTAATTCCGGTTGCGAACACGGGAAATTCAGGATAAAACCGCATTCGCCCGCCCTCCCCCTCCGTCCGGCGCGTTTTCAGCCCACCGATCCTAAGGAAGATAGCGGAGGTCTCGCGTGCACATTTTTCAAGGCCAAAGATTGCCAGGGTCGCTTAAGTGCTTTGTTTCCGAGTAATTAGATAGTTAATTGAGAAACCAGAAGTTGAGCCGTTCCTTCAGGTTGCACTTAAAAGTAGCAATAAAATCGAGCGCTGTCCGATCTGACATGTAATGATAAATGCCGTCTTTTAATTTTCATCTTAGTGTAACAGTTCTACAATTTTTGTTGTTGCTCATCTTTGGTAAATTTACACTGTTGGTGAGATTATCACCACGGACTAGCAAACCAGATGCACCACAGAAGCCACATGGCTTGCTAGTGTTTGTCAGGGCACTCGCTCAGTATTAAGCACACACGCACACACAAATATATATAGATAAAAATACAGATCTCAGCATACACACACAGGTATATCGACATGTACATAAATATGTATTTGTGTGTATGTTCAAAAATAACAGGATATCTGTTGTTAATATTTCTTGAGCATCCTTCCAGATATCTCACAATACATGCACATATGCGCATTGTATAAATGGGTTAGTAGTTAATACGTCCTGCATGCCAGGCGCTTAAGAAATACCCAGTCATTGAATCCTTCCACAACTCTTTGAGGCACTTAACTAGGGCCATCCCAACTACGGCCATCCCTATTTTACATATGAACAAACTGAAGGGGAGAGTGTGAGTAAATTGCCCAGATTTGGGCTCCAGAGACTGAACTCAGCCTCTACACTATGCCTGTGCTGCTTATAGATGGTCTGTAAGTGGAGTGACCATCAAATGTATTGACCATGCATGGGACTTTTTGAAAAGAAAGGGGATGCTGTTAATTATACAGACTCAGTAGACTTAAACTAGAATATGTGATCACTTTATCCTTGGGTGGTTTAAGAGCACAAACTAGGAGTCCTGCTTGGATTTAAAACTTGGCTCTGTCAGAGTGTAATTTGGGGCAGATTATTTACTTTCTCTGTGCTGCACTGCTCTCAGCTGTAAAATGGAATGAGGGTACCCACCACATGTGGGAATTCTGAAGATCAGGAGGGACAATCCTGATAATGTAGTGAGTCATAATGCTATTGTTTTCAAAACTGCAGTATCACAGACATCTTTCAACAGTGATAAATATAGATCAAGGCCAACATCAAAATGGATAGCTAGTATTAAATTTAATGAAATCACAATCCAGTAAATCAGTCCTCCAGTGATGGAATTTATGTTGTTTCTAATTTTCTTTTAACTGATCTTTTTTTCCCTTTTTTTAAAATAATTTTTTTATTAACATATAATGTATTATTAACCACAGGGGTACAGGTCTGTGAATCACCAGGTTTACACACTTCACAGCACTCACCATAGCACACACCTTCCCCAAAGTCCATAACCCCACCACCCTTTCCCTACCCCGCCCCCAGCAACCCTGTTTGTTTTGTGAGATTAAGTGCCTCTTAAGGTTTGTCTCCCTCCTGATCCCATCTTGTTTCATTTATTCTTTTCCTACCTTTCCTAACCTCCACATTGCCTCTCAACTTCCTCATATCAGGGAGATCATATGATAATTGTCTTTCTCTGATTGACTTATTTTCTCTAAGCATAATACCCTCTAGTTGAATCCATGTTGTCGCAAATGGCAAGATTTAATTTCTTTTGATGGCTGCATGGTATTCTATTGTATATATATACTACATCTTCTTTATCCATTCAACTGATCTTGTTTTTTAATTAAGCACATGGCCTTGGAGATCTTACAGTGTTAGTACATGTAGATTTACCACATTATTTTTAACAGCTCATGGTATCCCACCAGGTAGAGGTAACTATTTGGACAGAAAATTAGTTAACAATTTTCAGGACTGTTCATTCATTCAGCAGATACTTGCTGAGTGTCTACTAAGTGCCAGGCAGCGAGCTACTACCGACAACGCGGGAGTGGAAGACAAACTTCCCACTCAGGAAACTTTCATTCCCGTTGGGAGTCACGTGCTTCAGTGAACGTCTTTGTATATATATTTTTGTGCACTTACAGGAGTGTTTTTGTAGGATAGGTTTTTGGTGGTGGAATGGCTGGATCAAAGGACGGATCGTGCATATTTTAAATTTTGATAAGAATTTCTAAATCCCTCCAAAATAACAGTACCATTTTAGGCTTCCATTACCATCTATCACAGGACATCCTTTCCATTGCTCAAAAGTATCAACTTTTTTTTTTTTTTTTTTTTTTTTTTTTTTTTTTTACTTATGAGAAAAATAGCTCCTAATTGTTCTCTGATTATCAGAGGGTCTCAGCATGTTGTATATAGTAACTGGTCACTTATATTTTTATCTGTGAATTTTCTGTTCAGACCCCTGCTAATTTCCACTGAGTTGCTTATTTATTTCTTTTTAGGGCAGTTTGTTATATATTGAAGATCCTATATATGGTATTTTCTTCTTCTCTGGTCACTGTCCTTGGAACCCTTGTGATTTCTGTTGTGCAAACCGCACCCTGCCCCAGACTTGAACTTCAAGGTTATGACTCTTTGATCAATAATCTGTTTCCTTCCATATTGTTGCAAGTCTGGCATGCTAATGTTTTCTCTTCTAGTCATACCCTCTTAACATCAGAAATCTTTTCTCTGGGGCACCTGGGTGGCTCAGTTGGTTAAGCTTTCCACTCTTGATTTTGGCTCAGGTCATGATCTCAGGGTCCTGGGATGAGCCTCCTGAGTCGGGCTCCATGCTCAGCAGGGAGTCCGCTTGAGTTGCTCTCTCTCCTGCCCCTACCCTTCCCTTTGCACTTGTGCATGCGCACACACACTCTCTCTCTCAAATAAATAAAAATCTAAAAAAAAATAATAATAACAGTAACAATGTCCTCCATGCCTGTCCAGCCTTCATGAATAGTCTCCTTGAGGTATTTCTGAGCTCAGCCTGCCACTCACTTCCAATCCTGATGCCACATTGTGGTAGCCAGGGCTCTCCAGGGAGACACAGAGAGGTGGGGAGGGGCAGAGTTGGGGGAAGAGGACAGGTTTATTTTAAGGCATTGGCTCCCATGCTTGCGGTGGTCAACAGATCCGAAATCTGAAGGGTTGGGCAGACAGGCTAGAGACCTACGGAAGAGTTGATGTTGCAGCTTGCGTCTGAAAATTATTTGCAGACAGAAGTCTCTTTTCCTTTGGAGAGGTCAGTCTTTTCTTAAAGGCATACGGCTGATGAATGGGAACCATCGTTATGGAGGGTAACATGCCTTAACTCAGAGTCCATTCATTTAAATATGACATGCACACATGTGTGTGACCAAATATGTGGGTACCTTAGGTTCTGCCAAGTTGACATGGAGAATGAACCATCGTGCAGATGTTTTAGGTTCTCCAGACAAAACATGTCACTTCCAGATACCACTTTCTGTGTTGGTTCTTGATTGCTGATAAACTACCCTAAATTGTGGTGATGGAAAACGACAGCCATTTAATATCTTTTACAATCGTGTGTTGTCTAAGATCAGTTGGAAGGTCTTTTCACTGATCTCAGCTGTATTCATTCATCTGGGGGCTTGACTTGACTGGAACCCCCCAAATGTACTTATGTAATGGGGCCTGGGTTTTGCGGGGATGGCTGGGCTGCTTTTTTCTGTGTCCTCTCAGGGCCTCTCCTCAATTTCTTCAGAGTTCATAACTCTTTAAAGTGAAGTCTGGCAGGCCTTCTTTAAAAAAAAAAAAAAATCAATGCAATTAATTAACATATAATGTATTATTTGTTTTGGAGGTAGAGTTCAGTGATTCATCAGTCATATGTAACATCCAGTGCTCATCACATCCTGTGTCCTCCTGAATGCCCATCCCCCAGTTACCCCATCCCCCACTACTCTCCCTTCCAGCAACCCTCAGTTTGTTTCCTACGATTAAGAGTCTCTTATGGTTTGTCTCGCTCTCTCTGACTTCATCTTGTTTTATTTCGTCCAGTCTTCCCCTATGATTCTCTCTTTTGTTTCTTAA